CCCGCCCACAGGCCACATCACCCCGAGGCCGCGTCCCCCCCCCCGGCTGGCCCTCAGCACGCCGGCCGCCGGCCGTCCCGCGCGCCGGACCCGGAGCCGCGCGCCCCTCGGCCCGCCCGCCCGGCAGCCCACCGGTTGAGAGGCTCTCGGTGATCTGCTCCCTGTGGGCCATCGCCACCTGCTGGTTCACCAGCGGCCGCGTCTTGTCAAAACCAATGAACGGCCCGCCGCCGCGCGGGGGCGCCCCGTCCTCGTCCTCAACCGACTGCTGCTGCCCGGGCGCCGGCGCCGCCGCCCCGTCCTGCTGCGCTTGTTGCGACTGCTCTGTTGAGTCGCTGCCGCCGCTGCCGCTGCCGCTGCTGCTGGTGCTTGTGGCGCCGCTGCTGCCTTGGGCCGGGAAGCCGGAGAGGGGGCGGCCCATGAAGTCCACCACGCTGCCAAAAAGGCCGTCGCCTGCGGTCCAGCGGCGAGATGCATTTCCTCATCAACACCGCGGCCGAGCGCACCGAATGAAAAGGAGTGATGCCAATGCAAGGATGCAGGGCAGCTGCGAGCCGAAGACACTGGCGAGGCGCGGCGCCCCTCTGCCGTCCCCAGCCGGTGACCCTCAGGGCGCCGCACCGCATGCACCGCCGGTGACGGGCGCTGACGTCACCCACCTGCCGGGGCCTGCATCATCTCGTAATCCTTTTTGGTGATGGGGCCCTTCGCCTCGTCCACCACCTGGGGCGTGAGTCAAGGGGGAGGCCAAGAGCGTGTGAAGAAACGCCGGGGGCCCGAGGGACGGCTCGGGGGTGCCGCACGCGCGCATTCCAATGGCCCCAGCGCCGACGGCGCGCCTCCCGTAGCGCTCGCCGGCAATAACTAGCGCCGCCGGGGGGCCGCTCGAGCGATCGACGCAAGCGCCGATTGGCCAAGGGTGCGGCGGCACCTGCTGCTGCACACCGACAACCAACGACCACCTCTCACAAATCATTAAAAGCAAGCTTTGGGGGTCAACAGCCACACCCCCCCCCCCCTGCCACCTGCAGCACGCCCTTGATCTTGCACTCGACTGCCTCCCCCTCCTGCACCAGCCCCGCGCCGCCCGTCACTATCACAAACGCCATGTTGTCGCTTCGGTGCCACATCAGCACCCTGGGGGAGAGTGTGAGTGAGTAAGTGAGTGTGTGTGTGCGTGCGTGCGTGTGTGTGTATGTGTGTGTGCGTGCACGTGTCGAGGGGCGGCTCGGCGGGCGCGCGTGAGGGTGCTCCCAGTGGGGTGGGGGCTTTGTCACCCAACAGCCGCAGACCCCGGTCATGTGCCAGGTTGCACAGCAGGCCGCCCGTCTGCGCCTGTCAGTGACCCAAGCGCGGCCGCCGCGCCCTTCACTACGCTTGAAGTGCGGCCGCCCCGCTCCGCCCGCCAGCTGTGACTGTTTCGTGGGTCGGTTTCTGGCGTGTCAAGACACATCATGTATGCATGTGTGTGTATATATATGTATATGACTCACCCGGACGCGCCGCTGACGAACGCGAGCATTGTGCCTAGAGGTGCGTCGCTGTTGAGGCCGGTCGCGATCGCCAGGCCGTCGCGGCACCACAAAACCTGGGACGGCGTGCGCATGGGTGCATGGGCAAAAGTGATGCGCTTCGGTGCAGGCACGGCTTGGAAGCACTGAGCCGGCCCCAGCTATGAGCGCGGGGTTGCCAGAGGGGCGGCCAGCAAAGGCGCCTGCTTCAGAGGCCGATGCGTGCGTCCCCGAGGGCGCTGGCTGCGCTGCCAAGGGCCGGGCGGCACCTCCCCGGCAGCTGCCCGCGCCGCACCTTTCCGACGCTGACTTTCGATTCGAGCTCCCGCAGAGTGGCGAGCTGGTTGGGGCGCATCGTCCTCTCCTTGAAGATGCTCATCTCGCGCTCCCAATCCGGCTCCTCATCGTCCGAGCGCGCCCGCACGACGAGCAGCGTGCGTCGCGAAGCGCGCGAGGCCGCCGCTGAGGGCGCCTCGAGCGGGATGCGCGGCTTGATGGTAGGTGATGGTCGCAGGCATGGGATGCAATTGCGATTACCTGTCCCCAAGGTGGGGCCCGTTGGGCAGCGCAACAGCATGCTGGATTGCGAACGCTCAGATCAATGATTATGATGAGCCGGCGCACAGTGGCGAATCAATTATGAAGTAATCGCGCAACCTGCGCCAATCACATTTGAAACTGATCAATACCGTAAAGTAATCGTGGCACCCGCAGCACACCCTCTCCCGCCAGCGGGCCTCGATCGCTCTGTGGCCCGGCCGATCGGGATGTTATGCCACAGAAAGGTGCTTAGTCACCTCCGGTCGCCATGCCACTCTGCTGAGCCACAAAGGGCGCACCGATGCCCGTGCTGCGCGAGTGACACCCGTGCTGCGCCACCAGTAGCAGCCCAGCAGGGGCGTGCCCCGCCGCCCCGCGTGCGCGCCCTCCGCAGCTGCGACGCAGGCAGCGGTGCCGCGGCGCGCGTCGCGCAGCTTTGGCACGACGTGCTGCTCCTGCGGGGCGATGCCTGGGTCGGGCCCCTCGACGCGCTGCCATGGCGCCGGTCCCCACAGGAGCTGCAGCGGCGAGTGGTGGAGCGGCTGGCGCGCAGGGAGGGGCGGCGGCGCGAGGTGGGTGGGTGCACAGCTGCAAGGTCACTACGTATTTCTGCAATGTGCAGGGTGCTGCGCCATGCATGTAAGCTTTGGAGCCTGGGAACGTGATGAGCGCTGGTCACACCTCGACCCCGCCAGGCTGGTCCGCTGCACAAGCTTGCTGTCGAGGGGCTGAGGCGACAACAGCAGCAACAGCAACAGCAGCAGCGGCAGCAGCAGCAGCGGATAGATCCAGCGCCGCCGCCGTGGTCCCGCGCCGCGCTGGACGCTTTCCTGGAGCGCTGGCGCGCCGCCGCCCGCGTGCGCCGCGCGGCGCGGCGCGCGCTGGCCCTCAGGCGCATGCGCATGGCCAAGACTCTCGTCCTGGAAGTGGGCGGCGGCAGCACAGGCGGAGACGCCAGCAGCCAACGCAGCGGCGGCGGCGGCGAAGGCGGGGAGGCGCCGCCGCCTGCTAGCACGGTTATCGGCTATGCTTCGCTGTCCGTCACGCAGCCCGCCGCGCTGCTGCCGCCCCCCTTCCCCTCATCCGCGCCCCACGGCCTCTACCTAGACGCGCTCGCCGTCGACCCCTCGCGCCGCCGCGCGGGCGCCGGCCGCGCGCTGCTCCGCGCGTGCTGCGACGTCGGGCGCAGGTGGGGCGCGCGCGGGCTGTGGCTGCGGGCGCGGTGCGGCAACTACGCCGCGCTCGCGCTGTATCGGTCGGAGGGGTTCAGGACGGTGGCGGTCGTGGGCCCGCCGTGGCGGAGGGAGAACCTCATGCGAAAGGAGCTGCCCGCGCGGCGCCGCGCCGGACCGCCGTCGGCAGCGACGGCGGCAGCGGCGGCGCCGGCGGCGGCTGGGGGGCCCGCGTCGAGGCGGGCGGGGGACGGCGGGGCGGCGCGCGGCGAGGGTTCGGCCGTGGCGCGGCGGAGCCGGGTGTACGTGTGGGGCGCTCAGGAGGAGGAATGAGGGTGGGAGAATCTGAGAGGCTGCCCTGAGCAGCAGTGGAGTGCCCTCGCTGTTCTTTGCTAATCCCCAGTGCTGATCCAATCAAAGCGGGTGTGTCAACCCCTCTAGGTTGTGCGTCTTGGTTGTGCCCCTGTTCTTTGGCCGATGGCTGCCCCTTCGCTGCCGACTGCGTGGCTGACTTGAGCTCCCCATGCACTGACTTGGCTGGTTTTTGGGTCTGCAACTGCATTATCCCCGGTTGCTGGCGGACCCCTGGTGCATTTGTGTTACATCCTCACCATCTTTGCTGACTGCCATGCGGCTGGAGCAGGGTCACCGCAATCGCCTGGACAACGGGCTGATTTCTGGCTGGGTACAGCACATGCTGACAACTTGGGAACAAATTAGGCATGGGCCAAGAGCGTTGTATATGTACTTTACACTGTGATCCACCCAAACTTGAGAGCATGGGGCCAATGTCTGAACACTGGACTACACCTGAAAAGCAAGGGAGCTTGCAGTTGCAGCAAGCGAAGCATTGCCCACCCGCCATCAATGCCACCGCCCACCTCGTGGGCGCCGCACAGAAGGGGGAGGCTGCGTGGAGATGGGGAATAAAACACAAGGAGGCGATGCAGCGTCAGCAGCCGCTTTTGAAGTGAGGCGTGCGTTTGGTGCGCACTCCCCTGCTGTTGCCTGGCCGTCCCGAAAGCCGTTGCCTGGCCGTCCCGAAGGAGAAACCATAAAATATGCCCACCAAATGGATAAAGACGCGGGGACTGTTGCTGACACGCTGGAGACTCACCCGCCATTCTTCAGGCGAGGGGCGCCGCGCCGTTGATGAACAGCAGCGGGATGCAAGCCGTGTCTTGCGAGACGGCTTGCGGCGCCACTGCGGGCTAAACAGCACGGACGGCTGCCGGCCGCAGGGGCACCGGGGGCAGTGCATGCAAGCAGCGAGCAAGCAAAGCGTGGCGCACGGCGGGCCCCCACCCAGCTGCCGCCCGGCATACAAGAAGCGCTCTGCGCGCAGGCATGACTGGCAGGCGCACAAACCCTCATTGAGAGCCGGTCCCACAGTGCACGCACTCACGGAGATGGCGCCACACCACCTGCTTGGTACGCGTGGGACAGCCGCCGCTGCGCCTGCTGGTGGTGCCACTGTGCAGCGAGTGCCTCCAGCTCTGGGTCGTCCCAGCCGGGCTCGCTGCTGTCGTCATCTGCCTTGATAAGGCCAAGGTCAAGCTGCTGCTGCTGCTGCTGCTGCTGGGTCTGCTGCTGCTGCTGCTGCTGCTGCCAACTTTGTGGCCAGTCCTGCTGGGTCTGCTGCTGCTCCTGCTGGTCGTGAAACTGCTGGCACTCGCGCTGCTGCAGCTGCTGCTGATGCCACTGCGCTGACAGGGCCTCCAGTTCCGGGTCGTCCCAGCCTGGCTCGTCGCTGTGGTCGCCGCCTGTGGCGAGCGCCGGGTGCGCATGCAGGCCGAGCGCCGCGGCCGTGGCGCCGAGGGCCGCGGTGGCCGCGGCAGAGTCCGCCTGGCAGTGATAGTTGTTGTGGTTGGCCTCAAACCACTCCAGGTTCCAAATGGAGAGACCGTACGAGGCCAGCGCCGCAGTCGCCGCGTCCACATCCTGCGCGTCGGCGGCTGCGCGCGCGCAGCGCTCCGCGGTCGTCGTGAGCGGGGCGGGCGGGCAGTCGAGCAGGGTGGGGCTGCGCGCCGCTGAGCGCGGCGGCGCGCCGCGGCGCTTAGAGGCAGCGGGCCGCCGCTTGCTGAGCTGCCGCCGCGCTGTGGATGTGGGAGTTGCGGGGCTGCTGCAAGTCCATGGGGAGTGGAGCTGGGGGAGCTGCCGCTGCTGCTGGCGCCGCCGCCGCATGCGGCGTGCGGCGGACTTGCTGACGCCCCTGGCGGCCATGGGAGCTGTCACAATCCTTTCGGCCCCAAAGCGTGGGGACTTTGAGGCGGAGGAAGAAAGGGCGCGCTTCGGTCGCTTAGCGGAGGACCGCTTCGCGAGGGAGCTGCGCCCACGCTTGTGAGAGCGCGAGGCCTGCCCCGTGCAGGTCAGGGCCTCACACTGAAGGTCCAGAGCGGGCCGGACGGGCTGCATGGTTGCTCCCGGGTGCAAGCCGGCCTCGGGCTGAACAGAGACAAGAGTGTGAGAAAGGGGAGCACGTGGAAAATGGTGTGCGCACGTATTCGTGAGTTGCATCGTTGTTCAATTGTAAGACGTACAAGGTGAGGGGAACGGAAAAACAGGCTGCAAAAAGGAAAGCGCCGATTGGGTGGCTGCTGCCCTCGAGCCCGGCGGACCAGCTGGTAAGCCTCAAACTCTTGTCATGACAAAATAGGTTTATTCTAGGCTCCTGAGGCACGACAGGTGAAGCTTTGCCGATCGCACACACAGCGCGCCAAACACGGCCTCGCCAGGCCCCCTTTCAGCCTCCGGTGAGCCTGAACACAGCATAGTATCCCGCGCGCTGTCTGCCGCGCTCTTCAAGGCGCTTGTCGCACCACTTGCCAGATCGCACAGCCTGTCTAGCGTCGCCAGCCACCAACCACGCGGCCCCTGCAGCTTCAAGGCCGACAACGCGCATGTGCTGAGCCATAGGCCCCGAACGCGCGCCTCTTCCGCGTCTTTGGCAGCTTCCCCGGCGATCGCACGCCCGCCGCGCTCAAACTTTGCCGCCGCCCCATCGCGACCCGACCCGAGCCAGGCCGTGCCCGCGCCCGCACCCTCCCAAGATGAGGGCCAGCGCCGTCCCCCGCAAGAAGGACTTCAAGAAGGGCATCGACGCGGACGACGCGCGCCGCAAGCGCGAGGACAACATCATCGAGCTGCGCAAGGCCAAGCGCGATGAGCAGCTGCAGAAGAAGCGCGTCGTCAATGCCGGCCCCTCTTATGCCATGGAGGAGAGCTCGGCGCGCCCCATGGGCCTGCCGCACAAGGTCAGCAGGGGCCCCGCGCCACGCGCCACGCGCAGCGGGCGGCGGCGCCGCACCGCGCCCCGCCCCGCCGTCCCACGCCGCCCAGACGCGCGTGTCGGTGGCGGCGCCAGCCGAGACCGCGCTCCCCGCGCCTCGCCAGCCGCCCCTGCCCTGCACCACCTCCCCTCCCCCTCCCCACCCGCCTCCTCCTCAGCGGCCGTTTCCGAACAGGCGTTGCGCGCTCACTCTAGCCACCGCCCGCGCCCCGGCCCGCGCACCAACCCCAATAATATGAGCGCAGCAGCTGGACGAGCTGCCCTCGATGGTCCAGGGCCTGTACAGCGCCAACCCCCAGGACCAGTACGAGGCGACCCAGAAGTTCAGGAAGCTTCTCTCGATCGGTGGGAGCCGAGGGGGCGCCCGTTCCGAGGGGGAGGGGGGTGCCCGTGGGCAGGAGTGGGGTTTGGCCTGCCAAGGCGGGAGGTGTGGGGGCTCGGGCTTTGGGTTGGGGGCGGCTTTGGCTGCAGGGAGCCCCGTCGGGGCGTGCGGCAGGCGCGGCGAGGGGATGCCCCCGCGAAGGGCGGCCATGCAAGCGGCGGCCCGCGAACCGGACGGGGGTGTCCGGTCGATCGAGCCGGTGGGGGCCTGACGCCGCACCCCCCAACCCTGCATTCCCCCTCCCTCCCCC